TGCCCTTCAACACCCCCAGGGATGGGGCAGCCACAGCTTCCCTGGCCCAGGCTCTCCCCACCCTCCCAGCCAACAAGTTCCTCCTCAGCTCCAACCTCCAGCTCCCCACTGCCAGTTTCAAGCCCTTCCCCCTCAGCCCATCCCTCCTGCCTTTCTTTTCCCACCACGGGTAACACACCACCAGTAGCTCTGGGGTCACCTTGTCCCCAGTTTGGGGGTCTCCCAGCTACAAGGAGGGTGTCAAACTCCACCAGGACCCCCTGGTTGGTGGGGTGGGCTGGGCTGCAGGACCTGGTCCTGTCTCCAGCCCCAGGTGGGGGCTGAGCCCACCTGATCTCCTCACTGCAGGTTGGAGAATGGGGATGGCAGCTCTTCCCCCCAGCCCAAGGTAGGGGTGACCCTGGGGGTGCTGGGGTGTTGGGGGGTGTTAGGGTTTCCAAGTCCTTGGGGTCTCCAAGGGTTTCCAAGTCCTTGGGGTCTCCAAGGGTTTCCAAGTCCTTGGGGTCTCCAAGGGTTTCCAAGTCCTTGGGGTCTCCAAGGGTTTCCAAGTCCTTGGGGTCTCCAAGGGTTTCCAAGTCCTTGGGGTCTCCAAGGGTTTCCAAGTCCTTGGGGTCTCCAAGGGTTTCCAAGTCCTTGGGGTCTCCAAGGGTTTCCAAGTCCTTGGGGTCTCCAAGGGTTTCCAAGTCCTTGGGGTCTCCAAGGGTTTCCAAGTCCTTGGGGTCTCCAAGGGTTTCCAAGTCCTTGGGGTCTCCAAGGGTTTCCAAGTCCTTGGGGTCTCCAAGGGTTTCCAAGTCCTTGGGGTCTCCAAGGGTTTCCAAGTCCTTGGGGTCTCCAAGGGTTTCCAAGTCCTTGGGGTCTCCAAGGGTTTCCAAGTCCTTGGGGTCTCCAAGGGTTTCCAAGTCCTTGGGGTCTCCAAGGGTTTCCAAGTCCTTGGGGTCTCCAAGGGTTTCCAAGTCCTTGGGGTCTCCAAGGGTTTCCAAGTCCTTGGGGTCTCCAAGGGTTTCCAAGTCCTTGGGGTCTCCAAGGGTTTCCAAGTCCTTGGGGTCTCCAAGGGTTTCCAAGTCCTTGGGGTCTCCAAGGGTTTCCAAGTCCTTGGGGTCTCCAAGGGTTTCCAAGTCCTTGGGGTCTCCAAGGGTTTCCAAGTCCTTGGGGTCTCCAAGGGTTTCCAAGTCCTTGGGGTCTCCAAGGGTTTCCAAGTCCTTGGGGTCTCCAAGGGTTTCCAAGTCCTTGGGGTCTCCAAGGGTTTCCAAGTCCTTGGGGTCTCCAAGGGTTTCCAAGTCCTTGGGGTCTCCAAGGGTTTCCAAGTCCTTGGGGTCTCCAAGGGTTTCCAAGTCCTTGGGGTCTCCAAGGGTTTCCAAGTCCTTGGGGTCTCCAAGGGTTTCCAAGTCCTTGGGGTCTCCAAGGGTTTCCAAGTCCTTGGGGTCTCCAAGGGTTTCCAAGTCCTTGGGGTCTCCAAGGGTTTCCAAGTCCTTGGGGTCTCCAAGGGTTTCCAAGTCCTTGGGGTCTCCAAGGGTTTCCAAGTCCTTGGGGTCTCCAAGGGTTTCCAAGTCCTTGGGGTCTCCAAGGGTTTCCAAGTCCTTGGGGTCTCCAAGGGTTTCCAAGTCCTTTGGGTCTCTAAGGGTTTCCAAGTCCTTGGGGTCTCTAAGGGTTTCCACGTCATTGGGGTCTCCAAGGGTTTCCAGGTTCTTGAGGTCTCTAAGGGTTTCCAAGTTCTTGAGGTCTCTAAGGTTTTCCAAGTCCTTGGGGTCTCCAAAGGTTTCCAAGTCCTTTGGGTCTCCAAGGGTTTCCAAGTCCTTGGGGTCTCCAAGGGTTTCCAAGTCCTTTGGGTCTCCAAGGGTTTCCAAGTCCTTGGGGTCTCCAAGGGTTTCCAAGTCCTTTGGGTCTCCAAGGTTTTCCACATCCTTGGGATCTCCAAGGGTTTCCAAGTCCTTGGGATCTCCAAGGGTTTCCAAGTCCTTGGGATCTCCAAGGTTTTACAAATCCTTGAGGTCTCCAAGGGTTTCCAAGTTCTTGGAGTCTCAAAGAGTTTCCATGTCATTGGGATCTCCAAGGGTTTCCAAGTCCTTGGGATCTCCAAGGGTTTCCAAGTCCTTGGGATCTCCAAGGGTTTCCAAGTCCTTGGGATCTCCAAGGGTTTCCAAGTCCTTGGGATCTCCAAGGGTTTCCAAGTTCTTGGGGTCTCCAAGGGTTTCCATGCCATTGGGGTCTCCAAGGGTTTCCACGTCCTCGGGGGGCTCCCCTGTGGGGCTCCACGTGCCGTGGTGTCACTTGCCCTGTGCCCAGCCAGGATCTGGCCCCTTCTCCATCCCAGCACCCACCATCCTCTTCCTCCCCCCCCCCCCCCCAGATAAGGTGGGGCTGCAGCTGGACGCCGTGGGGGTCTTCACATCCTTGGGGCTCAACGAGAGGCTCTTTGCTGTGAGCGTGGAGGAGCTGGGCAGCCTGGTGAGCAGGAGTTTTGGGGGGGTCCCGGGGGTGGACAACCCCAGGTTGGGCCCCCCCCCCACCCCTACCAAGCAGAATTTTGGGCTGCCCTCAAGGGTTGGGGGGCTCCATCCCTCCTGGCCCCTCTCTCCCAGAGAGACGGGG